TCCAGGTACCATTGTAATATATCCCCCCCTCCCCCCAATGACACACTTCCAGGTGTCATTGGAACCAGATAATCAATGTTATTTGCGTCGCCTCTCAGTGGTCAGAATGTTTTGGCTGATCGGTGTACGGTTGCGTGTAACGCCTTTCCTTCCCTCAGTGACCCTGAGAGAGCCGAACGTGGCTGGCGGCGGCATGCAGTCACCAGCATTCCTCTCCTGTACAAGGTGAAAGCCGTTGGGCCTGTCAGGTTTACAGCTCCGGAGAAAGATGTGTGTGATTGAGAACCCCATCACCTGCGCTTTACGAGTTTATTATCCATTCCTGATCACATTGTAATGCTGAGAAGAGGCAGTTTGGGAGGTGATTGCGTCCCCATTAATCCCCCGCTTTACAGCCCTCACATCATGAAGGAATTAGAACGCCATGTAAGGGACGGCGCGCTTCCTAGAGGCGCTGCAACCTGAGGACTGAACACGGGCAACACTCCCCCAGGATGATACCAGCGAAGGTGTTCTATGGGCTACAATGGATGTTTGGGGATTGCTAAGGGTTAACGGTATGGCCAAAGATGTGTGTTCTTCTCATCACTCTCTCTATTTTTACACATGAGAAATGCAAATCTAAGCGGCACTGGGACTTCAAAACCTATTGAGTCGTTGAAACGAACAAAACCTCATACTTCCAGGAGCTTATAGGCTCACATGAAGCACGGCTCCCTATTGGTGGATACCCATAATGCATAGACATTCCCAACGAGCCAAACCAGATGGTGAAATGAGTCTGAGTTGCTTCTAATTGTTTGTAATACGATCACATAAAATAGCCAAATCTAATAGACCCCTAATGTCTCCTTAAAGAGAACCTGTCATCTATAATGTGCTATCAGATGGGGCTATTCACCCCCTATGAACTAGGGATGCAAGGGAAGCCAAGTTACCTATGTTTTGAATGGTTCAGACCTTACTGGGTAGCATGGAGAGGGAGAGGAGCAACCACCCAGGGATGTCACACATTTTATAGCTCTCCTGGATGCGTTTTCATTTAAATCAATTGAAATGTTTCTCAGCATCATCTAGTGGCAGGATTCCATGTGAACGGCATTCACCCAGCGCATGGCTGGGCAGAAGATTTAGGAATCGTCCCTATAAAGTTGGACATGTCAGGGTTTAGGATTTGATGGCAGCCGGTGGATGTGGTCTGTTTGCAGATATTGTATCACTCTGCGATCCCTTTGTGATCTATTGTCATTGGATTTGTCACTGAGGATTCTCTCCTGTTTCTCCAGATGCCAGTGTGTTCGTACTTCTTGAAGGGGATCTGTCGCAGAACGGACTGTCCTTACAGCCACGTCTATGTCTCCAGGAAGGCTGAGGTGTGCCAGGACTTCCTCAAGGGTTACTGCCCCATGGGAGCCAAGGTGAGAGATACTGATGGTGCCATGAGCCTGGGAATTGTGTGCCAATCCAGAGTATGAATGTTTGTAATATCAGCAGATAATAGGGCTTTAGTATGAGTGATGTCTTGAATTCACAGCTGTTAGTTCTTATGTGTACAGAGTCAAAAGTATTTTTTCTAGGTAGCAATGCACATGGTCAAAATGTTGTGGCTACCTGACCAGCCAACCTACACTATGTGGGTATCTGGACCCCCCTCCAAATGATGGAGTTCAGGTGTTCCAAGGGAAGGGTACAGATATCACTACAGCATGCAAAGGCCTTGTAGACAGTTGTGCTCTTCCAACCTTGTGGTAACAGTTTGGTGCAAGTCCTTTCCTGTTCCACCATGACTGTGACCGGTGTGCAAACCAAGCTCCATGGTGTGACCAGATTGGTGAAGACCCTTTTCTGTTCCACCATGACTGTCTCCTGTGTGCAAACCAAGCTCCATGGTGAAATTGAACGGCTGTAGGGCCAGGCTCCCCCGCAACAGCCGTCCATGGGCCCCGGACACCCAGTTCAACCCACAAGGGGGGGGTCTCTATAGTCCTAGGTCCATAGTCTCTAGGAAGGAGGCTCCTCCAGCTGCCCCAGTGACGGTTCAGTCCGTCACACTTTTCCTGTTATAAATATCCCCCTTTTCATTGATGATCAGTATGTATCTTCAAAGTTGTGATCGGTCTTTTGTTTGGTTTTAACCAAAAGAATGTATAAATGTTTTAAAGAATTCTCTTTTTTAAATATTGAATGAAAATTTGGACACTTTTGTAACTAAAAGTTACAGTTTTTCTAACGGTGATAAAAACTGAAACCTGAATGAGAAAGCGAAATGTGATGTGACGAAAGGCAAAGTGATTCTATACACGTAATGCGACCATCCTCAGGGGCCCAGGAGGGCCTGTCCTGCGCTTCCCATAGTCACCCATAGCAGATTGCAGCGTCTCTCCCCCTCTTTCTCTCTCCCCCTCTTTCTCTCTCTCTTTCTCTCTCTCTCTCTCTCTCTTCCTCTCTCTCTCTCTCTCCCCCTTCTCTCTCTCTCCCCCTTCACTTTATCCTGGAGCGATCGATCAGGAGCTGTCACCGCGGATTAGGAGACGTATATCGTAGAAATCAAAGTCCGGATTATGCGCGCTCTGCGCGTCCAGAACTGCTTTGGTGGCAATTTGTTCTCAGTGTTTCCTCCCTGCGTGTGGATAACAATTGTCCTGGATGTGTCTCTGTTATTGGTTTACTGGAAGTCTCTGGAGACGACGGCCGGGGCTCCTCCGTCCCTGCAGACTTTTATGGCAGGGGAGAAGCTCGCCATCATTTCATCTTCACTACGAGACTTCTATAAAGGAGAACTCCGGGGAACCCTTGCAGGGGGGCTATTCCTTCACTGTACTGGTGTACATCTTTCTCTGGGGGGGGGGTCAAACATAGCCAGTCCTGCGTCACTGACCACTCGCCTCTGTCCCCCTACGCTCCAGCTGCCCCTCAGCGTCCTCATATCCAATACACTGTATAGGATGTGAGGACTCGCTGGTCCTCGGACCGCCAGAACCTGGGGGAGAGGAGGCTGCAGGGGCCGGTGTAGCAGCCCAGCGGGGACCCACGATCAGGTTGGTATTTGTTCATCATTTGAGCCCCCTAGGCCAAAATGATCAGTTAACCCTTGCAGTGCAGGGGGTAGCCCGCAAGGGTAACTTTTCCAAAATCTGGAGTTCTTCTTTAACACTTTGTGCTGCAACCTGACAAGAAATAAAGATTTGATTGCGGTATGCTCCCCTTTTATAATTAAGTAGGTGTCACCCATGACTGAGATTTGTTCTGTGTTCTGTGTATCATAAGCAGCCGCCATTTTGTTTTGGTAACGAACTTCAAAATCAAAACTGTACCCTTGTAGTGAGTCTACCCCCCCCCCCCCCCTTTTCTCTCTGGGGGCCTCGC